TCCCCTCGGACTGGCAGCTGTTTCTGCCACAATTAACTGGCACTGTAGGCCTGAGCCAGAAAGACTCAGCGCAATCTGTCGGTGCACAGAGTGTGGGGTGTGTTCCAATGGCCACTGAGAGAGGCCACAAAATCCCGCTGACCTTCTATTTCTTCTTATGGTTTTTTTTTTTTTTTTTTTACAGCCAATGTTTCATCAATATTTAAATGTACTTCTCCTTGGAAACAAAAGCAGGAGAGGAGCAGCTCAGTATTCTCTGTAAAACATGTACCTTTGCCTACACAGAAGCAACCGCTGACCCTTTTCGCTACATGGTGGGTTCAGGATGGCTTTGCGTCAAATCTTTAAATAATGTTGCGCTGTGAAGTAGTGAGCAAAGAACTGTCCTTCAGCTTCATGAGATGAGAAGCGTACCGATTTGCCGCACAGCTAACAGTATGTCATAACGTGGGGTAGATTGAGTAAACTCTGTGTTTACCTGCAGCCTGGCTAACTGTGTGATCCTAGCCACGATCTTGTTGTAGGGATCAACGATCTTTGTCCTTATCCTGGAGAGAAAAGCATGGTTTGGTCAGTGTGAATGGATTCCATTAAAGGAAGATCTGCTTCTGTTTAAACCCAGACTGTCATATTCTGGACACACATTTCAGACCGTCATGCAGGAGAAGGTAACAGTGTCCAGATTTACCAGGGCCCTGAACAACGAATCGTATTGTACACCTGGCTTAACCAATTTTTAGAATCTAAACTCAAAAGAAGCTTCCTAGTGAAAGTTTAACTAACTATCCACACACCAAACTTCATTTATTTTTCATTTTTTCAAAGATGCATGATTAATCTAGAGGGGTTCTTCTGCATAAATTGCAATGAAAACATATGTCAAAGAGAACTGAAGTAGACCCTAAAGCCCCCTTACCGAGACACTGACCCTGCCCTGCATTACTGACCCAGTGTATTGGTGTATTAAGATGATTGAATTCATGACTAAAGACTGTGTAGTAAATAATAAAGCTGGCTGTATGCACAAAAGGTTAAAAAATATGTACTAAAATATTTACTAAAATAAATGGTGATGCCACCTTGCAGAGGTTAAAAAGAGAAATGGTTTGATGTTCAGAGTGGAAGTTAGCTCACAAGTCACATTAGAACAAATAACTCCTGCTTAATCTGCAGCTGCTTGTATAGTGTTCAGCCTGATTGGAGAAGAACAGGAGGAGAAGCTGATGTGCAGATGCATCATGGGAAGTTAGCGGTATGGAACTCTCTCACATAATCCACTGCTGGAAAATAAGAATCTCTAGATAAGTCTTCCACTGAATATTGTTTGGTACAGAGAGTTACTGTAAATATAGTGTAAAAACAAAAAACAGACAAAAAAAAATGAGTTGTGTTGTAGGAATGCATATAGCCAATATGCCCAAGTCAGGAGGGGCTATGGTGGGTGTTCTCTCCCACTTTCTCTTCCCCTTTCCTGTCCACCTTTGATGCATAAAAGCCACTACCACTCCAAAAAACATTTGGTTGTGTGCATCTGGCCCGGACTGAAACCAACCAATGTAGACCAAAAAACAAGGTTGTATCGACATGTCAATAGGAAAAAAAACAAAGTTTTACTGAGCGCCAAGTCATAGTGCCTGATGTCCCCATCATATCACAGATGTTCATAAATCGATCATAGCCATAAAATAAACAAAACTAATAGTGTTTTGACATCGTTCAACAAAAAATGTAATCAGCCCGGACTATTAGAGATGAAGATCTTGCTTTAATAAGATGCGTGAACAAATCGAAACGGACAGGGTTTAGTTTATAGTCCACGTTTGTTAGAGGCTGAACATGTTGGTGGGCCAACAACACTAAAAGGACTGTTTGGGGCCTTAAACATACTTTGATTTTTCAGTCACCCACCTGTCAACGGCAGCCTGTAGCGCGCTGATCCTCGTCTGCATCATTTGAAGGACACCTGCAAACACGACATGTCATTTCAGAGCGCCGGGGTTCGCCGTTTAGCAGGAACAGCTCTGGCTCCACCTTTGGGTGGAGGTGAGAAACTGCAAAGGGTGAGCAGCTGGTTCCCAAAGATGAACACAATAACGACATAAGATATCTCAGAAATGAATGCGAACATAATTAAAAGGTGTGGACACAATCAGCAGCAGTAACGTATCTGATAAATACCAGCTAACATAACAGCCAATCTGCAATGTTTCACTGTCACAATGACAATTGTGGACGCTTGCTTTTGCTTTATCAGCAGAAAGTTTGCAAAAATTATCACAGTTCAATGGCTTCATGTGACTAAACAATGCTGCTACTCTTATTTGGCTAACAAAATTCTGACTGACCAGACCGCAAATGATTGTAAAGAAATAAAGTGAAACAGCAAATTGCTTAAAGCCCATAGACGACAAACACACAAGTGTTTGTCTGTTGTTTGTGTTTTGTTTAGATGTTGTTTACCTTCAAGGGACTCTATCCCTGTAGCCTGAGAGAGTAAGTCTTCATGTCTCGCCACAACCTGAAATAACAGCAAGCAATGAATATCCAGTGAAGCATCTCTTGTTTTAAGATGACTCGTGTTGTATTCCAGATGAAAC